GCAGCGGCAATCCACCTGTCACTCAAGTGGCCACGCCCTTAATTATGCAGAACTTTAAGGCTTAGTATAATTTAAACGGATGAGTTATAAAAAAAAATTCACCCCCCTCACAGTTGTCATGAAGGGCAAAATTAGCTATATAGACCAAAATAATTTTTTGAACTAGGCTGTAAACATGTTTTTTTCTGCTGTAAAGTTGGGCATTTTAACATGGGGAGTCTATGGGATTGACTCCCTTTTGCAGCCAGTCGATGAATTACAGTTTAAGTCACTTCCTTGTTAGCTTCACGAGAGAGAGCGGGAGGTTGCCGCTTGGTAGAAACCAATGGGCAAAAAAAAAAGTGAGAGAGAGTTGGCTCTCTCTGCAATCCCAGCACTCACACGCATAGAACTTTTATTTACAATGTAAAGTCTTTGTACAGCAGTTAGAGGGAAGGGGAAAAAACAAGGGTAAACGGTATGGATCATTTAAAAAGAAAAGATAAGACGCTTATAGCTTCAGGAGGGGGTTAAGGCCAAAATAACAAACAAAAAGAGGATGCTACCTGGGAGTAAGGGAATCTAACTTGCCTATCAAACAAAACAGCAAAATAAACAACAGGTCTCTTCCTTGACTCCCTCTCTGTCCCAACAAAACCAGGAGAAAAGCAAGTGTTGATAAAATAAGTGGCACCCACCTCCTTACTGCGTCTGTAGGCAAAAATAACACCCAATCACTACAGCCAGTACAACAGGCTTTCTTGAAGCACTAAGGCTCTGAGCACACAATCTTCAACGAGATCTGGGAAAACAGACAGGCCAAGCTCTCTCTGGTGAACAGCCCGTTCCCTCTGTTCAAATACAAGCTCCTCTTCACAGCTCTGACGGGGTACAGGTGACATCAATTAAGCTTCTGTGAGAGGACAGGGAGGAACAGAGGAAAACAGGCAAAAAACTACACTTCCCAGCAGGCTGTTAGGCATCAGGGAAACACAATGTTACACACAGAGATTCACAGTATTAACAATAATGGCATTAGCAAAAATGACATACGTCCTGGGATGTAACACTCGAGATATGTTTTTTTCAAAGTTGAACTTGCATTAATTTTACATGGCTTTCTAAACATGCGGCTCTTTTGTGCGAGACGCGAGTGCAATGGTGATAGATGTCCCTCTAGAAGATGTGCGAAATATGCGTTCTGTGTGAACGACTTGGTTTCAGGTTTGATATAAACAAGATCTATTGCATTGATGTTCTCTTTTCCCGCAATATTTGTAATTAACAACGCAGCAGCGCAGCATCTAGTGTCTTCAACTGGATAGGCTAACAAAAACATTAAAATGCAATGACACTTACATCGTCATCGCATCTCGTGCGCCACTGATAAGGCTGCCTCGTTAATGCACACCTAAAATTCGAATTGCATTCAAATGTGGATTTTTATTTTAAATTCAACGAATATTCGAAATTCACATTTTTTTTGACAGCCCTAATTTCAACATCAATATTGTAACTTATTTGTAACATTAGAATTTTTTAATTCAACTGCAATTGGATATAAATGTATACCTAAACTAACTGTATTATCCCAGCGGTCACTATTGTTGCCATCAACATGTTTACCCATTCTGTGACCACACTCAACAAAACTGAATAATTGTGAATTCATATATTAGTACTAGACACTTTAAAGATATATACCAAAAATCTTTGTCATGTCTTTGTTAACATACTTTACTAGCCTATTGTTTTGGAGCTTGGATGCAGCCATCATCTCATTATTTCCATACAGCGGCTAATGAACCGAAAGTCTTGCACATTCACAGAAAACGGCTTACTTCTGCGTTGAAAAATAAGGTGGATAAGATGTAGGTTAGACTACTGCATGTGCACATTTAGAGTTCACGTTTTCACTGCGTGATTTAGTCTATTAAAATACATTTAAAATTCCCACAAAATTGAAGATAAGGGGGCAAAAATATGACTTATAAGACGTTTATATTTATATCATCTGATATAATTTATCACACGAAGAGTGATGTTTTTCCCCCCAAATCATTTCAAATATCCCTATCGTACGGAGCCCCTAAAGGGACATGGTGGTGGAAAAAATATTTTATTGAGAAATCACAGAACAGTGAATACTTTATGAATTACACAGACGGGAGCACGGCGCGATAAAAATAACTCATGGTGCCATACAAACTTTATAAGCCCCACTTGTGATTATGAGCTCGACTAATTCCAGTGGTCGACTTCACATTGCTTTCATATGCAATTTTAACTCCCACATTCCTATTTACAATCATTCTGGTAGCACGTGAAGGCAGCATCAGTGAAAACAGACAGACAATGGTAGCTTTAGCAACATTAGCCTTACAAAGTGCCAAGAAGCTCTTTCAGAAAGGCAATTTGGAAAACTAACGCGTGATACTTACTTCTTCTGGAGGTGTAGCTCTTCTTCTTCTTCTTCTTCTTCTTCTTCTTCCCTTTTTTTGGCGGATCGCAGCAATGTCGCGCATTACCGCCTGAATGAACGATTCATTCACAACTCGGACTAAATCGGTCCGATGGGTTCCCGAGTCAACAACATTGTGCAAGAATCTTTCTTTCTTTTTTCCATTTCTATTCAATTTAATACCATTTTATTAAACATTTTAGAACTAGATTTACGTTAAAATTGACTTAATGTTTTATGAGCGGACTCACTGCTGCTACAAAACCGTGAATTTAACCAAACACTTTTATTAAAGGAAGTTCATAGAAAAGAAACCTAAGGAGAGATTATTTTTGCACAAATATTAAAAAAATTACAATCATGTCGGAGTGTAAACCACAAAGTACACAATCATTCAGTTAGACATTATGGCCAGGGGCAAGTTCAAGCTCAAACCGGTGTGCACCGTTTTGCTACGGTTTCCGGTTTGAACGACATGTTTCCTGGAAACGGTGTGCAACGGGTTTGAGATGCGTTTTCTCTTGTTTGGTGGGTGTCAAACATGTCAGCCCAATCAGCAGCAACATGTATATAAACCACACGGTATTAAAGAGACAGCTTCCAAATAAATTCACAAGAGCAAGTATATTGTTTGCACATGTTTATTTACATTAAAGGCAAAATAACTGAAATAATAAGGGCACAAGTATAGATCTGGAACTTCTAAAATAAGTCTGTCTAAATATCATTTAGTAATTGCAATGTCTTCTGGTCCATATCCTTTCCTTAGGAAGGTGTGCTAAATACTGATTAATGTAACATAAAAATACTATACATATTTATATATTTTGCTATTGCATTATGGAGTGACACTTTCATAAACTTTTCTATACCCCTCTGATTATATAATGGTAAATATTACAATATCATATAGCACAACAACAGTGATCAGCAATAATGATAAGCCTAATACTCACAATAAAAATAATAAGGTCATATAGATCATAACACAGTCTTGGAGGTAAGAAATGGATTATCCTTCACCTGAAATATTTGTCCTTTCATCCTGAAATGCGAGGCAAATGTTGGATCACAATATTAAAAACCACAGTTATATGGCAGTTATAGGATATTCTCTTTTATTCTGGAGGGCAAGGGCAGTGACTGTAACATCGAGCGCATTTTGCAGTATTAAACATATATTTATACTGATTTCATCAGGCTCCGAAAATTCTTCAAAAAGAACAAAAATAATGGCCTTTTCAGCTGCCATAGTTGCAACTCCTGCGTCATCAGAACAGGGTGTTCAACACACCACCGTTTCCGTTTAAAAAACGTTTTGCACCGTTTTTGTCGGGGCTGAACGCAGCCGTTATTTGCTACTGTTGCCATTTTCAGACTTTTTTTTTTTTTTTGGAACAATAAGGATTGTTACGTCCCAGGACGTATGTCATTTTTGTTAATGCCATTATTGTTAATACCATGAATCTCAGTGTGTAACATTGTGTTTCCCTGATGCCTAACAGCCTGCTGGGAAGTGTAGTTTTTGCCTGTTTTCCTCTGTTCCTCCCTGTCCTCTCGCAGAAGCTTAATTGATGTCACCTGTCCCTCATCAGAGCTGTGAAGAGGAGCTTGTATTTGAACAGAGGGAACAGGCTGTTCACCAGAGAGAGCTTGGCCTGTCTGTTTTCCCAGATCTCGTTGAAGATTGTGTGCACTGAACTCTAATGCTTCTTTAAGAAAACCTGTTGTACTTGTTGAATATTGTGTGCTCAGAGCCTTAGTGCTTCTTCAAGAAAGCCTGTTGTACCGGCTGTAGTGATTGTGTGTTATTTTTGTCTGCAGACGCAGTAAGGAGGTGCCACTTTTATTTGATCAACATTCAAGATTTATCATTATTTTCCTGGTTTTGTTGGGACAGTGAGGAAGTCAAGGAAGAGACATGTTTTGTTTGCTAGGCAAGTTAGATCCCCTTACTCCCAGGTAGTATCCTCTTTTTGTTTGTTATTTTGGCCTTAATCTCCTCCCTGAAGCTAGAAGCATCTTATCTTTTCTTTTTTTTAATTATCCATATCGTTTACCCTTGTTTTCCCCCTTCCCTCTAACTGCTGTACAAAGACTTTACATTGTAAATAAAATCTTGAAGAGTTCCATGTGTGTGAGTGCTGGGATTGCAGCAGATAGAGCCACCTCTCTCTGGTGAACAGCCCGTTCCCTCTGTTCAAATACAAGCTCCTCTTCACAGCTCTGATGAGGGACAGGTGACATCAATTAAGCTTCTGCGAGAGGACAGGGAGGAACAGAGGAAAACAGGCAAAAAACTACACTTCCCAGCAGGCTGTTAGGCATCAGGGAAACACAAAGTTACACACAGAGATTCACAGTATTAACAATAATGGCATTAACAAAAATGACATACGTTCTGGGACGTAACACTCGAGATATGTTTTTTTCAAAGTTGAACTTGCATTAATTTTACATGGCTTTCTAAACATGCGGCTCTTTTGTGCGAGACGCGAGTGCAATGGTGATAGATGTCCCTCTAGAAGATGTGCGAAATATGCGTTCTGTGTGAACGACTTGGTTTCAGGTTTGACATAAACAAGATCTATTGCATTGATGTTCTCTTTTCCCGCAATATTTGTAATTAACAACGCAGCAGCGCAGCATCTAGTGTCTTCAACTGGATAGGCTAACAAAAACATTAAAATGCAATGACACTTACATCGTCATCGCATCTCGTGCGCCACTGATAAGGCTGCCTCGTTAATGCACACCTAAAATTCGAATTGCATTCAAATGTGGATTTTTATTTTAAATTCAACGAATATTCGAAATTCACATTTTTTTTGACAGCCCTAATTACAACATCAATATTGTAACTTATTTGTAACATTAGAATTTTTAATTCAACTGCAACTGGATATAAATGTATACCTAAACTAACTGTATTATCCCAGCGGCCACTATTGTTGCCATCAACATGTTTACTCATTCTGTGACCACACTCAACAAAACTGAATAATTGTGAATTCATATATTAATACTAGACACTTTAAAGATAATATGTACCAAAAATCTTTGTCATGTCTTTGTTAACATACTTTACTAGCCTATTGTTTTGGAGCTTGGATGCAGCCATCATCTCATTATTTCCATACAGCGGCTAATGAACCAAAAGCCTTGCACATTCACAGAAAACGGCTTACTTCTACGTTGAAAAATAAGGTGGATAAGATGTAGGTTAGACTACTGCATGTGCACATTTAGAGTTCACGTTTTCACTGCGTGATTTAGTCTATTAAAATACATTTAAAATTCCCACAAAATTCAAGATAAGGGGGCAAAAATATAAGACGTTTATATTTATATCATATGATATAATTTATCACACGAAGAGTGATGTTTTTTCCCCCAAATCATTTCAAATATCCCTATTGTACGGAGCCCCTAAAGGGAGATGGTGGTGGAAAAAATACTATTAATTAATAGTAAATTAATAATATTAATATCTACAAACAAGCAGAATAGTCCAGAATATGAACGCAACGCGCTAATGCACATTAAGCTTTTTCTCCCCCATAGAAAACTGTTGTAAAGAAAACGCTAAAGGAAAGGTAAAAGGTAAGCTAATGGATGAAGTACGGTGATATAAAAAGACCAAACCTGGTATGCAGTTTATTAATAAAAAACATGCACAGGAGCCCAGAATATGAACGGAACATGCAAAGTTTCATGTGTTTTCTTTAAACATTATTTAAAGAAAACTGTTAACATGGCTTAATGAATTTGCTAGTTGCTTGCCTGTACATAGTATACATTTTTAATAAATTCTATATAAACGTTGGGCTTTTTATATCACCATCTCATATTAAGCCACGTTAAGTGCTGTTTTCTATGTAGCTTGTTCATGGGCTCATCTGCATGTACACACTGCACAGTATATATTTTTAATAATTTGTATAGCATATTTGGTCTTTTTTTATCATCATATTTAAGTGTTTTCTTTATAACGGCTTGGGAGGAAAACGCTTAACAAGAAATTTAGAGCTTTCTGTTCATATTCTGGGCTTATCTGCTTTCCTGTCTGTAGTACATTTTATTAATAAACTGTATACCCAAATACGACCTGTGCTTTTTGATCAATTATATTGTACCTGTGTGACTGCCATTTGCCCTTAGTTTTGCACTCTGATGTTGATGCAGTGGAGGCCTGATCTGCTAAATCATTCAGGAAGTCAAACAACTTCTCTGAATTAATGCACTGTTTCCTACAAAGATCATAAAAAGAACACAGAAACAGATGGACATGACACAAACTCACAAAACGGTGGACAATGCATAGGAATAACAGCGAGAATAAAAGTCACGCCTTCTTTCTTTGCGTGAACATTTGGGCGGCGTTATGCAAATCTTCCCAGATAGTGACGTAGGTATGTGGGGGCGTGTTAGAACGAGCCGTTTTAGGTAGGCGTGGCTGACTCTGAACTTTTATAAAGAATACCTCTTTGGATTTGAGACTTTAGTCTTTGCAACTTTACAGATCTTCTTTATGCACCAAGAGCTTGTAACACTCCAAAGAGAAAGGAAAAATTGAAATCGTATCATATGACCACTGTCTTAGTCTTTCTATGGGGGAGAAAAGTCTTAAAGGGGACCTATTATGCCCCTTTTTTCAAGATGTAAAATAAGGCTCTGATGTCCCCAGAGTGTGTGTGAAGTTTTGGCTCAAAATACCTTACAGAATGTTTTTATAGCTTGTTAAAATTGTCACTTTTAGGGTATGAGCCAAAAAGCCGTTTTCGTCTTTCCCTTTAAATGCAAATGAGCTGGTGCTCCCGGAGAAGAGGGCGGAGTTTCAAGAGCTCAAGCTCCAGCAATACCGGTGTTGTGCCCAATTCTGACCCCCGGCAGATTACTATCCCCTAGCATTGGTAGGTTTAGGAGTAGGTGTGGGGGAGGGGTTAGGATTAGGCAATCAGGTAGTGATTTCAACGAGAAGGGGTAATCATTTGGCAGGGGTCAAAAATGGGCACAACACCAGTGCTAGACTTTGCAAATAAACACTCCACTATTAGTACAAGCTAGGGGTTGAACGGCTTCTGATTTTTTAAAGTCGACTTTTATGTGATGAAAGTCTAGTCGAAGTCGACTAGTCGCTGATGATGACATTAATGAACAAATAAGTCTGGAGCTGTGACAAACACCTTGTGCACAGCTATGGCATATGTCACAGCTCATTTTTAACTTTTCTTTTGTCTTTGAGTCGTTATGTTTCTCACAGATTTCTGCTCGTTCTAAATCAGATACTGATAAAGTAGCACAGTAAAGATTACACTCATATGAATGCATTAGTGAGAGCGATTGCGTGTCTGAATTAATTCTGCCTGGCAGCGTCTTTCTACTAGTAGTGAAGCTGTGGGATTTAGTTAAGCAATATATGCTTGAACTTTTCAGTATCAAAGCTATTTTATTGAGAAATCACAGAACAGTGTTGACGATACATTTCCGCGCTGAATGATTCTGTTTTTCTTGTGCTCTGCGCGTGATGTACGAGCTACTGTCTGTAATGTGTGCGTTACAGTGCAGCAGCGCATTAGATTAGAACAGCGATTAACTTACCTACCTGTACAATAAGCGGTTTAAAACGTACATTCTCCCATTCAATTTCGAGCATCCAGTAATATAATCACACATGTCTTGTGGAGCGCTTTCAGAGTATGCATTTATTTGTCATTTTAACTGTTTGGAAACGGAGCATAA